GAGGTCTTTATGCCAACATACACAATCAGCCATAACATTGTGATCACCTGCCTAATATTGTGCAATTTGCTGCTAAAACAGCCCTGATCCGCCGTGACATGGACTCCACTAGACCTCTGAAAGTGTGCTGAAGTATCTGGCACCAAGACGTTAACAGCAGATCCTTTTAGTCCTGTGAATTGCGAAGTGGGGCCTCCATGCCTGGGACTTGTTTGTCCAGCACATCCCACAGGTGCCCAAATGGATTGAGATCTGGGGAATTTGGACGCCAAGTCAACACCTTGAACTCGTTGTTGTGTTCCTTAAACCATTCCTAACCCATTTTTGTTTTGTGGCAGGATGCATTATCCTGCTGAAAGAGGGAATACTGTTTCCATTAAAGGGTGTCCATGGTCTGCAACAATGCTTAGGTGGCTTGTGTCAAAGTAAGTAATTCAGTGTTTTTCACTTCACCTGCCAGTGGTCATAAAGTTATGGCTCATTAGTGTGTACACTAAGACTAGCCATCATTTTCACAGTAAGCGAAGGGATTGCATTGTTATGGGGAGCACAGTAGGCATGTAAAATGAAAAAAAATCTCTCAATCTCTACTCCCTCACGCAGATTCACCGCTCTTCCTCCCCCAAAGAGATCACTTCATTCCCTGCCTCTTCTCTCCCTCTCAGTGCATAAACCCACATGGCAGCCTAATCCCCTTACTGTAGCCGATAATGCTTGTTGGCTCTGACTGTTAGCTCAAATAGTAGATTGGATGAAGCACAGGGCTGCCATGGCGGTTAGATAAACTACTCCTGCTCCCACTGACACAGTTCCCTACTGTCCCCCGACAAACGTGTTTCTGCCTAATCTGAAAAGCTGACAAGAAAATGCTGCTCCCAACTGTACTAGCCTTCAGATTTAACACCCACTAGCAGGTAGTCACTGCATTATCTTCTTCCTCTGCCCCAGTTTCTTACTGCCTTAATCCTCCTCTTTGGCTTGTCCTACACAACTAACTGCCGCCTAATCAAACATTTGGCTTGGCCCAGGAGGAACTATAAGCTGATGCAATAGGCACTTAATGCAGTTATATGTTATGAACTTGGGTCATTTATTCTGCAGTAGACAGTCCATTCAACCATAAGAAATGTGATAATAACCTACTACTGGCCAAACAAGGGTGGAAACTGTTACCTGTTGAAGATATTTTATTTAGCATTTAGCCATGTTTGAATATTCCATATGCCTAGCTTGATAACTACTAAATACTAGGGTAATGTTTCACATGTTTTTTTAGAATAATGTTTAAGGTGATTGAAAGATACACTGAAACTTTGAGGTGCAGTTTTCTTTCACACCCTTTTGCTTTCAGGCTATGGCCTAAGTTGCTATGCCTAGGTTGCTAGCAGGCTGTATCAGAGGCTGAGGCTATAATTTAGAATTGCATATCTGACTGAGGGACAATGGGGCCTTTATGGATTTTAACAAATTGTTGCCTGCACTCAGGCCTGATAAAATATAAGACTAGACACATGAATACAATGGGCCTTTGCAAGTGGACTGCAGCTCTGAAGGATGTGAAGGTCATCCTGTGACACAGCACACAAACTTGGAATGCATTTGTTGATGTTAACCAACTGTGTAATTCTTTTATCCATATACAATGTTTTGCTAATATCAAGATGATGTCTTATTGATCAGTGTCACATTTCAGTCCTATTACTTTAGAAGTGTTATAGGATAGAATACACTATTGTTTTAATATTGAATATGTGTGGAGATGGAAGTGGAGATGTGTCTGACCGTAAGACCCACAAGAGGAGGAGCGAAACAGGATACATCAACCAATGCAATGCAGAGTTTGGAGAGTCTGCTCCCGGGATCAGCTCGGATACACATGTATTTAATGTATTTGTTTATTTGCTTGAAATTATCACTAAAACTTGAGTTAATCTGAACTTTAATGGAATCTGTGTCTCATTGAATAGAATACCATTTATATTGAAAGGACAACAGTTCATCTAAGTCTAAGTTACAGTTACATCCAAGAGCATGAAGTTTGGGAGTGAGGGCCCGTTCCGAGGGTTTTTATTTCCCACATACCAAACTCTTCAATAAACACTTAATAAAGATTAAAAATGTTTCAAGAAATTAAGAGAACTGTAATTGTTGATCCACATTACACACGTAGGCAAGCAATATGGGCCAAATCAATAAAATATTAATACCATTTTACTATAACAGGCTGCAACTTAAAACAAGACCAAGAAGAGTCTACATGCTCGCCATGCTAGTGGCTCTGTGAGACAGTCGATGTGCCACTACGGTACAAGGGCACTGACCAATCTACTGCACATATGTGGAACGAGTCCGCCAAGCTAACTCCAAAAAGTAGTGTAAAAACAAGTAGGGGAGACCGGGTATGGTTGTAAGATGAGGAGAGTTGTAACAACACCATTCCACCAATTAGAGATATGATAGGAGTTATGTGATCATTTCAGTATTTACCTACTTCCTCCCTGATCAGGTAAGGTGGTTATCAAGGCTGGAAACAGGCACATTCAGAATATATAGAGAAAAAACAGATTTTGAGTTCAGAAAGTAAATTTTTTGACCAAGAGTATATTTTGTTTAGTATCTATACTATTGCAGATAAAATTGTTTGATTAATATTAGATTTACATGTAGTTTCTTAGGCAACATGTGATGCATTTTTTCCTTTCTAATTTCAAACCACTATGTTAATACTGCTAGTTAAACATTGACTAAAAGAGGTGGGGTGGGTTGTAACACTTCACAGCCATCCCCTATACATACAACTAGGTATCTAGGGACTTTCTTGATTTTAATATTTTATAGAGTGCCTTATACAGTCTCTGGACCCACCAAGCCTGCACTCCAGGGTTACCAGCATTCTTAATTTCAGCATTTGTCAGCACTGTGACCAGCACCTTCCATTCACATGTTATTCAAATGTTGGCATGTGTTCTCCACCAGTGGAGAGGGCAGAGAAGTGTACGGGCAGCTTGTGAGAAGTGCCAGTGCGCAAGAAAAAGTCCCGGTACGCCAAAGAGTAAAATAGTGCTGGCATTGCGTACCAGTGAGTACCAGCCCACTTCAAGCACTGACTGTGACTCTGATGAAAAATACACACACATTGACACACACAGACACACACCTCTTTTTTGTTAGACCTAAGGATGTACAGAGATGTTCTTTAATTAGGGCCATTGTAGTAGTATTTATTAAGTATATTGTTAAGTAAGTTTATTCTATAGGCCAGATACATTTAGATACACATACAGGTGCGAGAGTCAGACATAGTCTATTACAGTGAGAGAAACATTGTTCTTTTATATCACTACCTGTTTTTAGCGTGGCATCTATTTTTGCTTATTGTTACAACTTACCCCAGCATGTGTTACAATCTACCCCGGTATTGGTGTAGGTTGTAACAAGGGAACACAATGTATTTGACATCAACTCACAAGGTCTGTGATATTCTTGTAGCGGATTAAATTGGTGCCATTTGTAATGAACAAATGTGGGTACTTTGTATAAAAGTTTGAGAACTCCAGCTAAAAAAAAAAAATCTGGGAGTTATAGTTCACAACACAAGACTCTGGTAAGACCAGATAAGGCAGACTTAACTTAACTCAACTCGTTTAAATTAGTGACGCTTGGTGATCAAATGCATTGGCTGTACGTACCAGATGTAGAAAAGATATCCACCATATTATCAGCCCCAAGAATGTGTCATTGTTTATTTTACTGCAGTTTACATTCCTCCAGATGCAAATTTAAAAAAATGCACCACAATTGTGTGAGGTCATCAGCAATGTTTTTATTGTAGCTGGTAATTTTAATCAAATAGAACTCAGAACTGTTTACCTAAATTCCACCAGCATGTCCACACCCCCACCAGGGGAACAAATACACTAGACCATGTTTAAGGAAATGTTTGTGGCTCCTACAAAGCCCTCTCCTGTTCCCATTTTTGTCTATCACACCATATTTCCCTGCTTCTCCTGTCTATTTACACCCAGCTGTTAAAAAGGGTAAAAACAGGTAGTGTGGACAGGTGAGGCCACAGCAGCTCTACAGGACTGAGACCCCGGAGAACAACATCAATCTTGAGGAATATACAGCATGAGTGACATCATACATCAGCATCTGTGTTGATGATGTGGTAATCACCACCAGAAAGCCTGGATAAATGGAGAGGTAAGGGCTCTTTCCAGAGCCAAAAAAGCTGTTTTTCAGTCCAGTGATAAGGAAGCATACTCCATTGCCAGAGTGAGACTGAAAGCTGGCATCAAGGAGGCGAAGCAGAGACCTCAATACCAACAACACCAAAGATATGTGGCATGCCATCAAAAACATCATAGGCTACAAAAGCAGGAGCGCCCACGTCATGTGTGAGGCCACATTACCAGACGAGCTAAATACCTTTTATACTCACTTAGATCTCAACAAAAAGTCAGCTGTCAAAACTACTCTGATTTCAGAGGACCAGCAATTGTCAGTATCCACAGCAGATGTGAGAGGATTCCTGATGGGAATATGGGTAAAGCTGCAAGGCCTGACAACATCCCTTGTCATATTCTAAAAACATGTGCCAATCAGCTACTTGATGTTATCAATGACATTTTAACATATCACTTCCACAGGAGAGAGTTCCGACCTACTTCAAGACAGCCACCATCGATCCTGAACCTAAAAGGTCTGCAGTGTCTAGTCTGAATGAATGCCATCCTTTGGTACTCACAACCATTCTGATGAAGTGCTTTGGGAAACTGGTTCTTCAGCCCATAAAAACAACATCCCCAGCTATCCTGGACAGTTTGTTTTTGAACCAAAACATCCAAAGAGGATGCCATCTCCACTACCCTACACTCCTCGTACCTTGTAACTGTTTGCTTTTTTCTTGTCTTGAGGAAATTGTAATCTGTGTCTGCTTCCACTGAGAAACCTTTCCATCTGCTGCACCATTAATTGGACACACCTGAAGTCAATTTGAGTTACAAGCGTGCAGAGCCCTGTTCAACAGCAGTCTGAGACTACACCCATTTTGATTTAGTCTGGATTATCCTGGCAGCTTAACTGTATGTCTTGGCTGATATTGCACTCTTTCAGAAGTTGGTGTATATGTGACATAGCTATCTCCCACTGCTTTTTTATAAACCAGACCCGAAAGAATCTTGCCAAGGGGGCTTGCACAGATAGACGGCAGCAGAAGCAGGGCTTGTGGGGCCCAGTGGAGGACCAGGCAGAGGTCAGAGTGAGGGGTCAGACGATCTAAGCCTATGCTGTGTTGGAGATGCCCTTGGGGTAGGTGCTCAGACAAATCCCATCCGTGAGAACAGTCACACTGCATGGCTCCCCTGGGACACAGACAGACATACATATCCGTGTATAAAGTCTGCCTAGCCAACCATCCCTAACTATGTCTGTCATTTTACACACACAAAAATGGAAATTATACACACACACAATGCAATACATGTAAAAAACAAAACAAAAAACAAATTAAAACATAGCAAAATGCAATCTTAGTAGATGCAGATAAGCTGTATGCTCCACATATGTGGATATGCTCAATAGCGGATTGGCCTATCGGGAGAGTCGGGACATGTCCCAGTGGCCTGAAGGCCGTTTTGGCCTGCCGTTAACTGTCAGTTTGACCAGCGGCAGCGATAATATGGCAATCTTTGTATATAATCTAACAAGCAGGACATTTTGTGTGTGTGTATAAAGCCTTTTCAGACAGGGAGAGACCCTCTTCCTGTGTCCTATTTTGGATCCGCCAGGCCTCTGTGTGCTACTGAATCTCTGAAACAGTATTTTCTTTATTGACAAGGCCTATAGAAAACATTAAATATAGGCTATCTTGTTGAAAATATTGAAAGATAGCCTTGATGTGTTTATTTTTGTGCTGTTTGCTTTATAGACACTGGTGACTGAACATTGTAATCAATAGTGTTTTTTTGCATTATAGGCCTAGTTACTTTCATTGTTGTAGGTTATGTTCAAGTTCAGTGAACATGGGGGTTATGTGGTGTTTTTTAATTCAACATTTGAGCAAACTCTATCTCTCTGTCTATCTCATTCTATTCTTTAAATGTGTAGCCTATGCTTATTTTTTGTGTCTAGCCTTGTACATTTGTTTGCGCTATGATTAGTGTAGCCAGCCTAGACTATTTCTCTGGAGTTTTTGAGGGTGCACCCAAAGCCATAGTATACATTGAAAACTCAGTGTTCACATAGGCTACTTTAATGATCAGTCCCAAATGTCTGTAGATGAAGATAGTGAAAAAGACTACCTGGTTTGGTACCTGTTACATCAACAAATTGGGTTAGTCCACAAAAATTTGCGGTTTGGTGCTTTGTGTGAACCGGGTGGCCTGGGATGGACTCAAATTCCTTGCCTGAATTTCTGTGCCAGTCCACCCCTAGATATGGTAAGAGACAGTCTATTGATTTGACTATAACAGAAACAGCCCAGGAGAGATGGTAACAACCATCAAAAATCACTAAATTATTCTGAGGTATGCTGGGTGTGAGATACATCACCATGGCAACTACAGATGTGACCTTAGAGTAGAGGACATGTCGAAGACATTGCTGTATTTTCGGAACACGAGAGACGCAACCCTGCTCTTTTACCTTGGAAATGAGAGGAACACACAGTACACATTAAAATAATTGTTGCAGGTTTTTGATGATTTTTTCCTGTGCTTTGTTTGTCTCTCAACAGGGGGATATGATTACAACATTGTTTGGCTATGAAGAGCCATGAGCGTCAGCCATAATTACATGTTTTTCCTCTGCAGCCAGAAGGACACGGTGTTCCTTTGGCACAAAAGTCAGAGCAAAGGAAAACACACTGATGCCACTGATGTCTCAAACTGAAACAAAAAAACCTCTCAAAATAAAAGGATGTATGGAAAAGACAAATGAACATCGTGAACACATAATAAACACAATAAAAGTAACATATGTAGATACATCATCAGATACAATGTCATATTTTGCACTACATTTTGTTCAAATTATTTTGGCCAGGACAATCCTATGAAGATGGGATTTTTTTTACAACAGTAACACACACTTGAGTTTGGCTCTGCTCCAGAATAGGCATGTTGTTGATAAAATGTCATAAAATGGTGAAATATTACAGTTTATCACAGTCCATGGCAATGTCTTCAAAGGTCTATTTTGTCCAACTAACAGTCCAAAACCCAAAGATATTCAGTTACGACAAGAAATAGCATTGCATTCTGACATGTAATTGATTATTCAACATTTTATCATAAATTTTTTGTCCATCAACTAATCGATTAATAGATAGATTTCGCAGAAGGACACTGTGTTCCTTCGTCATAAAAGTCAGCGCAAAGAAAAACACAGTTGTACTGTCTATTGCCACTGATGTCTCAAATTGAAACCAAATTTACCCAAAATAAAAGGATTTAAGGGAAAAGAATTGCCACTGATGTCTCAACGGAAATGAACACCGGTGGAATAATGGAAAGACTCATTTATAATTACCACACACAGAAAAACAGAGGCATACACATGGACACATGCTCTGACAAAAAGTCTACAGCGGTTACCCTTACATGTGTCTGTCATTCTCCAAACATACTGTAGTGGTCCACCGATTTGGGTTTTTCAATTGCCAATGCAAATGCTGACATATAAAGCCGATATCAAAAAGAATAGTATAATTCCACTATTCCGTCCAGATTACAATCTAATGTACATGGTTATCTTAGCCAGTAGTGTTGTTTTAGATGGATTTTTAAAATTAATTATTGAAATAGTTAAATGCATTGGGTTATGCTGTGGATTTCAAAATGTAACGGCTGTTTAAGGGGGTACATTTTGTCAGAAGTGACGTCATTCAACTGCATTATTTTCCACAGTATAACAGTATATCTTTAACGCTAGCCAGTAATGGTTTTAGATTCGATTTGCTTGTCTTTTAGGATGGGAGAAAAATGTTAACATTTAGAAAAAATTATGTGACTGAGGAAAATTACTGCTCCAAACATTGACAAGGTTGCCTGCAGATGTCTTCTGCAGACATTTTTTGTATATCAGCCTTGCAGATTAATGCTCTATCAACTCGTCAATTAATGAACTAATCAACTCTTATGCTGAGCAGTAGTTTTTGCAGAAAGGTCACATATCTCCATCACTGGATTAAATAACTACAGGCCTGTCGCCCTGACATCTGTAGTCATGAAGTCCTTTGAAAGACTGTTGTTGGCCCATCTGAAGGACATTAAATGCCCCTTGCTGGACCCCCGCAGTTTGCCAACAGGGCAAACAGGTCTGTGGATCAAAAACTTTCTGACAGACAGGAGTCAGCAGGTGAAGCTGGGGAACATCACATCCAGCACCAGGACTATTAGCACTGGCGCCCCCCCATGGGTGTGTGCTCTCCCCACTGCTCTTCTCCCTCTACACCAATGACTGCACCTCAAGAGACCCATCTGTCAAACTCCTGAAGTTTGCTGACGACACAACGGTCATTGGACGGTGACAAGTGGGCCTACAGACGGGAGGTTGATCAGCTGGCTCTCTGGTGTGGCCAAAACAACCTTGAGCTCAACACGCTCAAAACTGTGGAGATGATCATGGACTTCAGGAGGAGCCCCCCCACTCTGCCCCCCTTCATCATACTCATCGTCCCTGTGTCTGCTGTGGAATCCTTCAGGTTTCTGGGATCCATTATATCCCAGGACCTAAAGTGGGAGCACAACACTGACACCATTATCAAGAAGGCCCAGCAGAGGATGTACTTCCTGCGCCAGCTCAGGAAGCTCAACCTGCCTAAGGAGCTGCTGATTCACTTTTACACAGCCATCATCCAGTCTGTTCTCTGCACATCCATCACTGTCTAGTTTGGATCTGCCACCAAAAAGGACAGGAGCAGACTACAACGGACAGTCAGGACTGCAGAAAAAATCATCGGTGCCAACCTGCCCTCCATTCAAGACTTATACATTTCCAGAGGGCAAACGGGCAGTAAACATCACTGCAGATCCATCTCACCCCGGACACAACCTGTTTCAGCTTCTCCCCTCTGGTAGGCGCTACAGAGCACTGTATGCTAAAACCAACAGACTCAGGAACAGGTTCTTCCCACAAGCCATCACTCTGATGAACAGCTGATTTCTGACCCCCAGTGTCAGGAACAATTCCTGTGCAATAACCCTGTAACTCTGCCTCTAATCAGCCACCTGTTTACTGGTTATCACTTATTATTTATTCATCATTTATTCTATTTCAGAGCTGTTCTTACTGTTCATATTGTCATTTTGTATATTGTATATACTGTATACCAAATCCACCTACCTCAAGTACATAACACCTGCACATTATTCTTATTTATTCCAGCATCATTTACACTATGCTCCATCACACTGTGTGCGTGTGAATATATATGCATGTTTGTGTATGTGTACCTGTATATTTCATCCACCTCCGACATGTACGTAATAATGATAATAATTTTACTCCTGCATCCTTTGCACTCTGCTCATTGCACTATTGTCTCAATCTGTCTATATTGTTTTTGTTTATAGTGTGTATATATGTGTTCTCTATACTGTAGCCTGTGTGTGATTTTATTATTGTATTAATATCAATTAATTAATATGTATTGTATTATTATTGTATTATTGTATAAGTAAGCAGTTTGTGAGCAATGTACAATCCTGAGTCAAATTTTTCACACATACCTGGCAAATAAAGCTGATTCTGATTCTGATATGATTAGAAGGTGTGGGGAACATGAAACTTTAAAACAACCTCTACTTCTACTTCTACCTCAAAGCAACCTGGGTCCTTCCTTGTGTTATACTAATGTCTGACTGGAAAGTCAAAAAAAGGCATATTTATCCAGTATTACCAGCAGAACCCAGTGTTCCTTGGCACAAACCCCAGTTGTCAGGGCACACAAAAATAAAAGGAAATGTAACACAAATGTTTTACATACTGTAACTAGTTTCTCAATGTGAAATCTAAATGATGACATGATTTCATGGATGAGGGGCAGAAATACAAAATTATGGAAAGTCTGTCAAAAACAGCTAATAAGAAAAGTATAATATGAAATAATAAAGGTATAATGCTTGCAGCATTCACACCCAAAAAGCAAGTCAAAGGACAAAAACAACACCATTAGGTCACAGAGAGAAACAAAGCAGAACGATGAACAGAGAGATCAGGAGTAGCCATCCTATAGAAATATCGCAATGCTGTTTCAACAGAGGATGCAATGTGACCTAGTGAATAACAACTCTGAGTAAATCATTGGGTGTGAATGCTGCAAGCATTTACATCCTATGTTATTGCTAACCTTTAATATTATTCTTCCGTCACATTTTTTTGTCTGCTAGCTAGTCCCACAGCTTTTGACGTAGAAACTCCGTTCAAACTCCAAGTTGTCCGGCTCAACGAGGAATGGGGTGCCATTACTTTTGTCATTGATACCTTAAATACTTTTCAAAATATTCAAGGTTTTCCAGGAAATTTTTCCCATTCTAAGTGAATGGAGAGACTGTCAAAATCCTCCTCATACCTACTTCACTTTGAAAGCTCACCAGTTCAGCATACTTTCAGTTACAGACTTGATTTAAACTGTAAAACTGGTCACAAGAAGTTAATTTATTAATGATGTCTTCAGCTTTTTGATATATTTTATGGTTTGTTCACGGTCGCTGTCGAAGTTTTATGCTTTTTTGAGCTCTTTTCTGAGTTTATAATGGGTGTGTATTGCATGAGTTAGAGTGGGTGACATCATCACTACAGTGTAACATGCTCGAAAAATGACCACAATTTTAACTCTTCATGCATAATTTTATACCAGAAAGGTAGTCAATTTTGTTGTGGTTCCTCACATGGGCTTTTTAAATCCCTCGGACTTATAGATTTGGCTCAGCGCCCTTCCAAAGGACAAGAGTGACAGAAAATTCTCCATTAGCTGCCATTGGAAGTTCTCCTCAAAGTTTTTTGACCAGAGCAGAACGTACTAGTTTTTCAACTCGTCAAAGTGGTCACTTTTTTCAACTTTATCCAAACAAAAAATACATAATATTGTTCACAAATGCCTTCTGCCACCCCCGGTCAAGTCATTTTGTCGATACGACCTATAGTTTAGTCTCTGGAGAGGTTTGTTTGAGGCAAAGATTTAGATAATTTCAGAGGGATATTCCTATGTGTTGTAGAGCTGGTTACCTTGGTGACGTTAATTAGCTGATCAAAGATCAAAGGACTGGGTCCTCTGTTCTGATTGGTGGACTGAAGTTAAGCTATTTTCTGAACACCTGTCTGTGTCCTCTTCACTGAACACATACACACACACACATTAATACACTGAGACACAGCGCACACACATACACACACACACACAGAGCCCTCAAAACATGGAGCTTTAAACTTTGCTGCATTGGAGAACACATGTATGCATAACTGTGTGTTATGCACAAGAGACAGGAGCATCTACTGCTTGTTTAAGACATAGGCTGAAATGAGAGCTTGCATAAGTTTAGCAATCCAGTTTAGCATTAGCCTTCAACAGCCAGCAGTCACACCACAATTTCTCCAGAAATTGCACTGTCTAGTTTAAAGTAAAGTTGCCAGAGCAAGTGATTGATTTCATTAAAAAGAGTGTTTGAGTGTGTGTGTGTGTGTGTGTGTGTGTGTGTGTGTGTGTGTGTGTGTGTGTGTGTGTGTGTGTGTGTGTGTGTGAGTGAGTGAGATGACCCAACACCTCAAAACTCAACTTTAAAGAGTTATGCAACTTCTGTCCCTGTCAACATCCATAAGTCAAACAACAACAGGTTTGACATAATGAACTGACTCTTAACTTAAGCTAATGTGGATAAGCAAACCATTATAATAAGCATAATTTACTTTGGTTTGTAGTGTTTGCCACCCTGAAACTGTGCTTTGATGATGAACATTATCAAAGGAATTACACATGTGTTTTAGAGTGGATTT